GAAAAGAAAAAAAAGAATTAAAAAAGTGAGGAAAGAAAAAACGACAAAAATGACGCCAGTGAAACGTTAGCAATGAAATTTGATGGATTAATAGTTAAGAATTAAAAAAAAAACCAAAAAAAACTTTTTCTTATTTTGCAAAAAAAAAAAAAAATAAAACAAAAAAAACCAAAATAACTTACAGAAAAAAAAACTTAGGCTTCTGAAAATTTATTATTGCATAGAAATAACAATAACTAAACAGAGCAAAAAAAACGCATATATGTGTGAATAAATACGGAAAGAAATTTTTCATATTCAAAAAGCTCTAAAATAGAAAATTGGATTAAAAAAATATATGACGTTTGAAAGAGTCGTTGATAACTGGTTGTACTCAGGCTAGTCTAGTCTACTTTTATGTCTTTGTCAAGCAGCTTATGCTTTCCAACAGTTAAGCTGCTCTAATCACCAACGATAGATCAATGTTAGCTTAAAGTTTTAAGCAGCTACAAGAAGTGAGGCTCTATGACTGTGATCACTTTTTGACCACCCTATTGACCAATATTTGGCGATATTTATAGGTACAATTGATGTACAGATTTCACCAATTTTGATAAATCTTATCTGGTTTAAGCAATTAAAAACAATAAAAATTGTCGTCTGTTCAAAAGATAGTACTAAAAAATGTTTTTAACTCAAGTTTCTTTTAGTTTTTTTTATTGTTATCGTTGTCAGAACTGTAGTTACAATTTTATTTCTGGTAGTTTTATCAGTGATTTACTCTATGATTTATTACTGTACAGGTAGCTTAAGTAAATGTAAATTTTTAATTTGAGTAACTATAAAACAATATAAACTTTAGAAAAAAGAACAAACTAAACTATGTACATTAATTTATTCAGCAGTTAATGGTTAAATACTACTTATTTGTTAAATAATTTATTAATTTCTTTATATATTTAATATTACTGTGTTATATATTTGTCAAACAGCTTTTACCCTTATCCGCAACTGAAGTTGGATTAGTTTATCAATTTTTTACTGAATATTTTTTTAACCAAAATACAGCCAAAACTTTTACAGTACAGTAAGGCGGCGATCGTCTGAACCGATACAGTTGTCGGTCGGTACTGTCGTTGGATACAGCGATTATTTGCTTTTTACGTTGAACCGTTACAATTTTATCCAGCCAAATGTTCAAAGAAAAAAATTGAAAGCTCAAAAATTTAAAAAATTTTTTGTATTAAATTCAAAAACCAAAGTTAAACAAAAAGAACAAATAAATAGATAAAAAAGCTAAATAAATTGCAGTTGACGTGGAAAAATTAAAGTGAAAATTTTAAAAGCAAAAAAAAAAACTGTAAAAAAATTTGTGAATTATTTAACGAACGTTAAACATAAGTTCAAAAAAAATTATCAAACAAAAGCAGTTTAAAAAAAAAAAAAGCACTTGATCATTTGGTTGTTTTAAATACACCCAACTCAGCAGCAACAATACTAACTTAATTAATTTCTAAAACTAAAACATACATTTTTCTTTTCTTTCTGATATTATTTTAAAAATAAAATTTCACTATTTTTATATAGACAAAACTGAAAAAAAAAAAAAAGAGAAAGAACAAATATAAAAAAACTTATTTATTACAACTGAAAAAAAAAACAGAAGAAGAAAAATTGTCACTCTCTAAATAACTGTTTCTTCTTCTGACGTCAGACATAATTTTATATCTATTCAATCGTTTGGTGCTGACGTTTTATCAATACTTCATTGTTGCTTCTGAACTCAGGTGGTAACGATGATTGCTGAAATTGTAGAAATAGTGCAGACTGACGAAAAAAATTTTTGTTTTTTATACTGTTGGTGGTTTAATACATTCAATTAGTGATCATATTGATAAAGCTCAGTATTTGAAGTGCTCTTAATCTAGCAGACATATTAGAGTAAAATTTGATAATATCAAAGTTGCAGTACTTTTGTCTGAAAATCTCATTTACTGCGAGTTATTTTGCAGCATAAAAATTATGAACAATATCTATCGCCTATTTTAAGATCAAACTGCTTCCGTTTTTTTCTTGTTTTATAAAATGTGGAATTTTTTGTCGGGTTTTTGATCTAATTTATCTCTTAACAGTTTCCGCTGAAGACTGAACTGACAACAGATGTTATCTGCGCTTAATATGCAACCATATTCAAAACTTTAAAACTAAAGTTTAATAATTGCAGTAACGGAAGCAGCACTGATATATATTTTAAATATATTTTTGAAATTTTAACAGATTTAAATCTGTTTGTTTTATGAATCTACCTGCTCTTCAACCTCATTACAAATACCTATACTAACACCTCTATTCTGTGCAGATCAGTTTCTTCAAACAGCTCATTTATCGATGTCTAAGAGGTCAAATTTCAGTTTTAGTCTACTTTAGCATTACTCAAATACTTTATTGATGACAAATACTAACAACCAAGGATTATCGATAACAAATGATATAGACGAAAACATAGCAAAAAGCTAAAAAATAAAGCCATAACAAAAAGTAAAAGAAAAAAAGAAGCAACTATTTAAAAAATACTGATTCTGTTGTTATCAACCAAATGTTGCATATGAAACAAATCTTTTTATCAACAAACAATCTATTTCAGTTTGTTTTTTTTTTCTTCTTCCATCGCTTTTTTTTCCTTGACAACATAGACCGCTGATCTATTGTGCCGAAATTTCTAGATCGCTTTTCTGCGAACCGACAACATGATGTATTGATATAACAACAAATTTACTCAATTCTTATCACTCGGGAGAAGTTGAAAAATTCTGTGAATTTATTTACGCAGTTGCTTTAGACTGCCAAAAAGGTTGGAAGACCGGAAAGACGAGACTAAACTGCACAAACTGTTCGGTCTGCTTAGCAAAGCCAAGGCTTTTTTTTTCAGCAATTCTAGATTTCTTTAGCGCAGATACATTGCAAAACAGAGCTTAACTGATGGAAGTGAGGTAGAAGGGCAATTAGTTTGACGTTGTTTATTGGCATTATTCCTCCTCAGTTTGTCCTTCTCTTCTCTTCCCCCACCCTCTCTCCTTCAACATTAACTCTTTCCCCAATTTCTTCCCTACCCCCTTTTCTTTATCCTTACCTCACTTTATCCCCTTCGTTCCCCCTTCTGCTTCTGCTGAGCGAAAAAACGCTGCTGCGGTTGGAGTACAAAAAAATCGAAGTTCATTGTTGTTGTGATGTTAATCACAAAGACACTTGTAATTTAAACTCACCAAATATCCACACTGTTTCCATCATTACAGCAAACTTAAAGCATCTTCATCAGGTTTTTTGACTTTCATCACTTTGCTGTCAAATAACAGAGGAAAACGAAGAAAAAAACGGAAAGAAAGAAGAAAGCTCAAATCTTTTTTTCTCATATCAACCACTTAACAAATATTATCTCATCTGTGTAACTTCTACCAGTTGAGCTCTTATTCCACACTCTAAAATCAATACAAAGGTTTTCAAAAACTTTAATTTTTTGTTTTTGTTTTTTTTTCTCACTCCTACCTCATATTCTTTCCTGTCTCTCAATTTTTTTTCTTTTTTTTGTTCTTTCATCTTTTTTCCGGTTTCCTTCTCAGATTCCACTGCACAGACGTTATTTCGATTGTGTATATTCGCAGATCTATTGCTAATATGATTAAAATGACAAAGTCGGTACATATCAATCAGAAAAGGAAGCTTGAAATTATTTTTGCTTTCTACAACACCTCTTTAATCAACAAAATAGAGACGAAAAGAGAAGCAATAAGAAATTTATAAATTAGTGAATGTTGGTGAAAAATATAAAA